AAATTTGAAGGCCCCCCCAGTTTCTCCTCTCCTCAATCCCCCCCCTGTACAATAAATAATGAGCGGTCCCTTAGACATTATTTACGAACTTCCTCTCTTATATCTGCATAGATTATTTTTGATATATTGTAATGAAAAATGAAACTTTGGGATAGTTAAGAAATACAATTAATCCATTTATAATGGACAAGATTGTCCCCTTAACAAGTAAAATTGCCTGGCATATTAGATGGGCTTATAAATGACATACCATATTAATTAATTAACCATTAGGTTGCATTGTGCCCTAATGCACCCTAGCTACTTTATTATTTTACTCTGTCTAACACCAGACAATTTTACTTGTGAACTGGAGAGCCACTCAGTGCTCAATGGGTTAACATGTCAATGTCTAACTGAACCGTCTGGGCTCTGCTCTACAGTAAATTTCCTTGTAATTGGAGTCTGGGATCTGTGACCCAATACATCTTCAGTGTCTTCATATGGTACTGTCACTATTTTATATGTATAATGGCCATTTCTCATTTAGGGTGAATCTGATGTAAGTCATGTGGACAAGAAATTAATACAAGTTCTTTCGAATGTTCAAATAGCAAGAATTTAAGTGGTGCACTAGCTCTTAATTGCCAGACTTATAACTGCATGCCAGAACTAACAATTACTTTTCTCTATAATTTTGTGGGAATGTGTTATTTATATGTATGTACTACAAACAGCCAAAGAATAACCCATGTGCTCTAGTTTTAATTTTTTGATAATACTGTATTACATGTAACTTGATTGTACAGTTAGGTTTTAATATTATTTACTGCTAATGGGTCATTCCAGAAAACATCCATACCACCCCCACAGAGGAAATTACGTACATTTACTATTATCAGAAACAATTTTTTCTCCCCTCCCTCTCCGGACGGCAGAAATTTCCTCCGTGGGGGGAGTGTGGATCTTTTCTGGAACGTTTCAATTGGATAATTATTCTTTAACCATGCAAGTTGAATTAAAATAAATAATATACAAAATCAAGCAAATTTTGTCTTTAATTAATTTTGAAACAATTAATACATGTTTCTTGGAGGTTCACTAACAGTGGCATGAACTCTTTGTGGGAGCATTCTGCAATAAGCAAGAATAGATTATAGCCATAGGGGCTATCAATATGGAAGCCAGGCTGGCCTGGTTGGCAGAACTATTTATTATTTCCAGATAAATTTCCTTGCCGACACAATTCTATTGTTTTGACAATATTTCCATGACCAATGTTGTATTGAATTTACTTTGACCAGGTCAGTCCAGTTAGTGTTTATATCCATAAAATATCTTCCCGGTGCAACTGAGAGCTTGCCTTGTTCAGGTGAGATCTGAAAACTGAGCCAGTCAGGTTGTCCATACAATTTGAAAGGAATTTCCACTATAAAGATAACCACACAGTGAGATCTTGCTTACTGGCCTAGGGCTAGCTGTCACATTAACAGCCCCTACCTCAGGAACACCAGAAATATGCCAGCAGTTGAGTCAATTAACCCAATATTTTATATAGGGATGGGGCAAACAAGTTAATGCATGGCCTTTTAAAGATACATACAACAAACTATCAGAGAGCACACAATATACATGCAAACTTGGGCAAAACATATGCATTTTCAGATCATCTGAGCTTTTTCCAGCATCAGTTCTGAGCTCATGCATGAAAAAACCCGGTCTTGGCTAAATCTACAAAACCTTACTTCCCTCTTTAATATACTTACCTAGCACATCATAGTTTCATGTCAAATTGACTCAAATATTTGTCAAATTCATATACATGTACAACCATTAATTCCTTGGGATTGAGGGATGAAATTATTATAATTTAAAATTAAAAGATTCGTCTACAACCACATTATAAATACTCGTGGCTTATTTTCTAAAAAATAGAGTACATTCTACTTTTTATTCCTAACATTTTTTCATGAAATATTTATTAAAATAGTAATGTGAATTTTGAAAAATGTATAAATACCTGTTTATTTATAGTCTGATAAATACGGATGTTTGTTCTGGCTTGAAGTATCGTTTTTGCCCACATTTCGCGAGGTTTTAATAGTTGTTTGTTGTCTTTCACGCTCCACGGACGAGAATTAACGTGTACAGCTTCCACATCTTTGAACAAATTGTCAACAGGCGAAAAAAATATGTCGAAAATATCAAAACAACAAGGATTCACTGCAAATTGCAAAAAGCCGAAATATTTTTATAAAAACCAGGGGGGAGTAAAAACTGTGGCGGCCTGGCGGGCTCATAATTGAGCCTTGTTCAGTGGCAATTACCATGAATTTAGGGACCAGTAGTCATGGAAATGGCGTCATTTTTCATCAAAATCCGCCATTTTTTTGGCGACACTTGGTCAGTGAACTCTATATATAGATATCTGGAATGATAACAGCGAGCGAAAAGTGAAGCCGACAAAAAAATCACGACATAAGTATTCGTCATTGTCTTCGTCATCAACTGTTCAAGAACTTTCTTACAGTATTAAAAATCACTTACATATAAAATTTGTAATTGTTTTGAAAGTTTTTATCACAGTTTTTATATCTTTATTCACTTTTAACCTGAAGATGGAGTTATACTCCGAAACGTAGTTATTAAAATAATTTTTTACTAAGCCCATATGGTCTAATTTATATTCAAACACACGTACATATCATTTACATTTTGCTGGCAGGCAAATTCCGATCACACATAAATTCTTTAAAAAATAACGTACCAGTGTATTGACTAAAAACTATAAAACTGGTAAACTAAAAACAATTCAAACAATCGCGAAAAATGGCAACGGCAAAGTCACAGTTGCAAGTCAATTTACCTACCTGTGAAATGAAATTTTCTCGCAAGAATATCTCTTTCCTTGTGCATCCAGAACGACAGTACGACACAATATATTTGAAAAAGTGATTCTTTTCTCCACACGGGGAAGTTTTCCTCGACTTTTTTCCGACAGCGAACTCAATGGGTGGTTTAATTGGTGGTGGTGTTCTTGTTGCTGTGAAGACTGGTATACAAGTCACACGCAGACATGATCTAGAACCTGATAATACGGAACTTGTTGTTACTGAGTTAATGAAATCTAACAACAAACCAATCATACTTTACACGTTTTATCGTCCCCCCGACTCTAAACCCGATGTCCTTCAGCAGCTAAATTATTCTATCCAAAACAACCCAGAATCAAGTCGTATTGTGTTGATAGGCGATTTTAATCTACCATCAGTTAAATGGTCGTCTGATCAGAAAACCCCCATCAACATCGGAGGACCTGCTGAGAATGAAATCTTTTGCGATTTGGTAGACGACAACTTCCTTCTGCAATACATACTTGGCCCTACCCATACTGCTGGGATAAACTCGATCTGTTGATGTGTAACTCTCCTGAAATCGTCGGCGACGTCTCCGTTCTCCATCCCGAGACCTGTGGTTTCCCAACAGATCACTACATCGTGGAATTTGACGTGAAGTTGAAGTTTAAAAGAGCCAAGCCAATAAAGCGCCGAGTATTCGACTATGGAAAAGGAAATTTCGATGAGCTACGTAACTTCCTGACACGATATCCCATCAATGTTACCCCAACTGATAGCATTAATGATGACTGGGAACAATGGAAGGACACATTCTTAACTGCTGTGAGAAGGTACATTCCGATGAGAACTGTCAAAGACAAAAATAGTCCACCATGGATCGATAAAGAAGTGCGTCAACTAATCCGTAAGAAGTACAAAGTTCTAAAACAATACCGCAGGAACAAATCTGCTGATCGAAAGCGTAAATTACGAAGCGTTACTCAACAAATCAAATACTTGATTCGAAGTAAACACCGAGGCTATCTGGCTAAAATAGAAAGTTCGTTCTGTGACAACCCCAAACTATTCTGGAGTTACCATAAATCAATTCTTCACCACCGGACAGGTCAGAGCAACGAAATAACATATAATGGTTTCACAGCCAAGACGGCGAAAGAAAAAGCGGATCTTTTTAACACTTACTTTTCTTCAGTGTTTCATCCATCTTCTACCACTTGTAACCAGACGCCTCGAACGGAAAGCAAAGAGAACATCTCGGAGATAACAATCGATGTAGACGAAGTTGCGCAATTTTTGCGCGCCCTTGATACCTCGAAAGCATGTGGCCCCGACGGCATTCCAGCTCGCCTGTTACAAGTATGCGCCCTTGAAATCGCACCAAGCATATGTGAGTTGTTTAACCGTTCCTTGCATACTGGTCATGTTCCATCTGAGTGGAAATCTGCGAATGTTACACCCGTCCACAAAAAAGATCTTAAAGAACCGGCGGAACATTACAGACCAATATCGTTGCTGCCCATCGTTGGCAAAGTACTAGAGCGTTGCGTGTGCATCAGACTATATAATCATGTCAGGCACCTCGTCACAAAAGCACAACATGGTTTCCTTAGACGGCGATCTTGCGTTAGTCAACTACTATCGGTACTACACGCCATCGGGCAATCCCTTGACAAAAACGTTCAAACTGACGTTATCTACCTCGACTTTGCGAAAGCTTTTGACTCTGTCGATCACCAAATTCTCCTCCACAAGCTTGCGTCATACGGTGTGTCAGGTCATTTATATGAATGGTTCGCGGACTACCTCAGTGGTCGTCGTCAAAGGGTTGTGATTGATGGAGCTACATCTAATTGGGTGCCAGTTACATCTGGAGTGCCGCAAGGCAGTCTCCTGGGTCCTATTCTGTTTGTGATATTCATAAACGATCTTCCCGACATATTACCTGACGAGACTTTGGCAGCTTTGTATGCAGACGACACCAAACTGTACAAGTCCATCACATCAGTAGGTGACTCAGGGGCGGATTTAGACCGTTGCAACTGTAGCATATGCTACGGTCAGATTTTCCATAGGCCAGTTCTAACATGGATCATAAAATCAATCTAAAATATAATTTAGCAATATTTTGTTTACTTTCCTTGTTTATATTTCAAGGTTTTATTTTATTTAGTTTTATATGTTCTAAAACATTTTATTTTGACAAATTGATGACATTTATAATACGTAACGTTAATTATTTTAAGAATTCCCGCCCGAAAATACGGTTGTAATTGCCCGTTTGCGGGTCATTATGCAATGGACTATAGCTTAGAAAATATCATCCTTCAGAAATACACCGTAGCGTGTTGCCCATATATGATCAATTTTCGCTACGGTCAGATTCATTAAGGTCGAATCTGACCGTAGCGAAAATTGGCATATACGGCATTCTGATTGGTTTGCTACGGTCAAACGTAGCAAACCAATCGGAATGGGGCAAATGCTATGGTTTGCTACGGTGGCATGAAATTGGCTACTGCTCCAGAACGATGGAATATCTGATATTTGTGTTTGGCTCATCAACAACATGCTATTGGGAACCCACAGTACGGTTGTGCGCATTTCGAAATGAAAGCCGTCGTAAAGCTAAAGGATTTATATGCGTCAAGGTAGAAATAAAATCAGATAGTAAAACGAATCATTTCCAGTCAGGTAAGCCTTATGAATGATAAGAGATGCACATTATATTTTAATTTGAGTTTTTACTGTATAGTGTTCGCTATTAACTTCGCTTTATTAAAGTGTTTGTGCGCGTATGTACAGTATACCTGCATGTATTGAAATTAATACGCGAATTATGATACGCGCGTATATATATCGTGTTTTATAGCGCGCTAATATTTGTTTGTAATGCGTATATATTCGTAAGATACGCGTATTCATATCATACGCGCGTTCATATGATATGCGCATTCGTATGATACACGCGTTCGTAGATGATACGCGCATTTCGGTATTCAATTGATAATGATATGCGTATGATACGAGTATCATGCCGATATCGTATGTTAAAATATACGCGAGCAATAGTTTACATTTTGAGATCATTTCGGCTTATTTTTGCTTGAGAAATGAATACAATGAGGGCAAATTTAATGGTCACATGCAGTGCTCAGAACGCAGGAAATGGCATTTCCGGGCTTCAAATTTCAAAAATTTTCCGGGGGGGCATGCCCCCGGACCCCCCTAGCTATGCGAGGTCTTGGAAAATGCTACGGTCAGATTTTTGGCTGGATCCGCCCCTGCAGTCAGTGAAAGTTTGCAACAAGCTTTAACAGACCTTGACTGCTGGAGCCGTGACAACAACCTCAATTTTAACGAGTCGAAGTGTAAGGTGTTGACAATTACAAGGAAAAAAACCCCGCTGACGTACGCATATCACATGGGCTCAAAGGAACTTACTCGTGTGAATAAGGAAAAAGATCTTGGTGTCTTCATAAATTACAACCTCTCATGGGACGATCATGTTCATACCATCATCACCAAAGGGAACAAGATGCTTGGCATGCTGAAAAGAACTTGCCCTCTACTGACTAACACCGCAGTGAGGCGGACGCTGTACTTGTCACTCGTGAAGTCCCAGATAAGTTACGCCACCGAAGTCTGGTCTCCTACCATCAAAATGAGATCCACAGTGGAACGTGTACAAAGGAGAGCCACCTCTTGGATACTGCAAGCCAAGCGCGGAGAAATTGCATATAAGCAGCGGCTGATAGCCCTTGGCTTATTACCCCTGTGCTACGAGAGAGAAATAAAAGACTTAGTGTTCTTTTTTAAGGCACTGTATGGGCATATTGATCTTGACGTGCATAGTTTCGTTTCATTTGTCAACAATGGCCGAACACGACTTAGTCGAAATCCTTCTCTCACACTCAAAATTCCTTTCTGTAAATCCAAAACATTTCAATCCTCATATTTCAACCGGCTTGTCAAGTTATGGAACCACGTCTGCAAAATTCTTCCCTCTACCACCTTTGCCAGCCTCTCCATCTTCAA